ACGATTGCACAGTGATTTTATTGCAAAATCTGAGTGTTAATGAGAAGCGGTGTATGGATCATTTGAAGAGGTTATCGAAAATCGTGAACGCCGATAATTCGACAGCACCTTTCACGCTGACTTCATTCATTGAGCAGAGGTTATCCGTTCGATTTATCTGGATTCTTCGATAAATATGGGATTTTTTACGATTCGATTAATGTAAGGTGAAGGTTTTCATAATGTTGAAATCTCGCCTGAGTGGATTTGAGGGTGTTGGGAGAGAACTGGAAGGGGTTTGCTACCAAAATATTCGAAGAACAGTTTCTAATCAGTACCATTTCATTCAGGTATTTGGGTGTTTTGTTACGTTTCCGTCCGACGTTCAGCGATGATCGCTTCTATTCGAAACGTAGCACAATAGCGTTGAGTCTTTGTCATATGATGCAAATTATTCACGATGAAGGAACGAATTTCTTAGATACGGTTTGTTTTTTCGTTCGTTTGATCAGATTTGAAGTGTTTCTTCAAAATATGTTTTGAAAATCGATTGAACTTCGGGATGTCTGATTTACTTATCGATAAGTGATTTTTAACTTAGTGATTTTATCGAATTGCTAAGAGAATCATTGAGTGAAGACAATTGCATTGAACATATTATCGAGTTTGAAATTCCGATGGAATTTTCTATTTGTTTGTTGTAGACAGCGACGAAGATGTTAGCCGTTTTACGAGTGCTCACACCACTGGGACACCTATCAATTGCACCGTGGCGAACGTTTATCGAAACCCTGTCTGATGAGGTGAAAGGGGCAATTATTATAATCAGCGCTTTTCGTCGTTTTATTAGTCATGGATGAAATAGATGCTAAAAATTGATTTGATGTGTTCAAAATGGTCGATATTTACTTCTGCTCAGCTCGAAACAAAACATTTTTTGAAAAAAAAATCGAGCGATTTTATAGAACAGGAAAGTAGATTAGGGCAATCTTCGGGATTTCTGTGTGAGAGGGGTAGTCCTCACACTATCCTTTATATTAGAGTGAACTTCAGGATGTCAGATTTAGACTTGGGTTGAATT